CATACCAGCAGCATTGTCCAGAAGGTTAGAAGATCGAGTGAAAGCCATTGTTCTATATATATGGTCAAAATCAGCATTGCGGCGGTTGACTGCTTCTAAATGTGCTGCGAAGTGACAGTTCACAAAGCACATAATCCGATCAAGTACTCTTAACCGCAGACCAACTCCACCCTGCATTATAATTGTATAACCATAAAAACATTGTGCCAGCCAATTCATTTCCCTTTTCAAGGAGAAAAAGACAATAACTTAGACTAGAAGACGAAGCCCTTAATTTTTTTAAGTAGTGTCTCAATCATCTTCATTACCTCACCTTGAATGACTACCTAGAATTTTGTCCAATTTTACTACTTAAATAGTTTGATGAATTGTAATCTGGACAAGATCAATGATTTGCTATACCTCTTAACATGAAGAGATACTTACCTTATTACCAAATGCACGTCCTAAACCACATGCAACTGCCGCAACGTCAAGGTCCCCGACATGTGCTCTAAGAGTTTTTCTCACCCTAAGTTAAAGATTAACAATCAATAAATCAATTGCACTTCAATCCCAAAATAGTTGCGGTAAGTTAAAGGGTGTTAATAAACATAATATTTTAGTAGTATGAATAGGCAGGAGCCAATGGAAGAAATACTTCAGCCAATTCAGTCCAAAATACGAAGTTTTGCGAAGAATGGGGTTTTTGAGGCACGGCTTTCATTTCAGCTTGAAGAATGGAGAATAGCTTATTAAATTAACCGTCATAAGTTCTTACCAGATAGCAATAAGCAAGCCAGCTAGTTGCCTTGATCCTACCCTTTCGAAAGTTGATCCTTCGTCCAAAGTTTTTCCTATTGCATCCTGCCACCATTGCCCACTAGAAGTTCCTTCTAGTCCTACCTACAGTTGACATTGCGATCAGGATAATGCTATGCACATTAGAAAAGATCAGGAAAGTATAAGGCTTCACTATCCACATGGTTGCCAATATGAGTATCCTCAATTATCAATAATATCAAATACAAAATTGAATTAATGATAGACTTGGAACTATTGAAAGAGATCTGCTAAAGAGATCAAGTCTTGCTAACTAAATTGAGCATTTAAAGCCATCCAGTACATCACCAAGGTTTATAGCCTAGTGGTAAGTGGGAGTCTCCCACACAATAGGTGTGGGTCTGACTCCCACTACCCCGCGCTTCCTGCCCTTCCCTGATCCCCCTATGTAATAGAAACAATTAAAAAAAGAAGAAAAGCCAATGGGTATACAACTTTTCTGTGCTCAATAATTGCTTCTTGAAATGCAAAAGTTCCTTTAGTGGATCTAAGATTCTACCTACAGGATACATACAATGGTAGACCATGTCCGCAAATCTCTTAATCATGCTCAGGTATTTGATAACCAGTTAGTGACAGAATAGACATTGTATATTGTCAAATCTTTTAGCTAATGGATTCTTGACTTTTTGGGCCTGAATAATAGATAGCTCAAGTATTTTAATTACTTATTGTTTTCTACTGAATGCCAAAATTACCAGTTGCAGGTGGTGTTTCAATTAGATCAGCTAGGATCCCTATAAGATGTGTTAGCACGTCTCTGTCAGTAAGCGGAGAAGAAGTCAAAGGCGAATCTCTTTGCCCTCTCTTCAGTCAATGCTTTGGCCTTTGTCTCCTTTTCCCTTTTAATTAGTTTTTGGGACATTGGTGGAGGGAATGAGATGTTGTTTCCCTATATGGATTTGGATAACCCCTCACCTCATGAGCTAGTTTTAGGTTGAGTTAGGCCAAAGTACATTCTTTGCATGATATTAGAACTTGCCTCATCTCAACTCTCTAGTTACCCAATGTTGGACTCCCATGTTATATTTTCCACACTCCAAATGTCTAACCCTGGGCATGCAGGGGCTAGAATGTCCTACATTGGGTGAGGGAATGAATTATTGTTTTCTTATATTATCTTGGACAATCCTCACCTTATGACCTAGCTTTTGAGGTTGAGTTAGGCGCAAGGTCCATTTTCTTTACAAGATGTAAAGGGTGTGCTTTGATAGCTTACAGTTTCTTTTGCAGCAGACATTGCAAGAAACCCTGCTCCCATTTCTACTTCTTGCAAACCAATTACTACAATCCCAACATCCAAAATTGCAGAACCCAGCCAAGTTGCCAGTGCTTCCTGTGACGCTTTTCCTTCACCAACGTTCCACGTACCTACCAAAATCCTAAAATTATCGNATTATCTTGTCTGGTGTATAAATATTTTTTCTCAGCTCTTTCTGATAGTAATATGTTATCAATAGGTCCTGGAGTGGCGAGGGCCCATCCACGTATACCTCCATGATTAGCTAAGCTAAAAACATAGTCATCCCCGACTGCCATTTTTATTACAGGCCTGTTGTGAGCAACCCAACCAGCTAGCAAGTTCCCTTCAAGGTCCAGGACCTGTACCATACCACTTACATAGCCAACCCATATTCGAGAACCATGAGCACATAAGCAAAGAACAGCGCAAGGATGATGATGGAAATCTTGCAAACGATTGCCATTTCCATCCCACTGCACAAGTAAGCCATTTGAACATCCACTCCAAATCATCCCANTGATAAACATTGACTAGGATCATAGGTTAATTTAATATATGAATTGAAAACGTGAACAAGGAAAAACTAGACATTACCATAAGAAGATATCACCATTGAAAGAACGGGACCACGATGAGCCTGCCAGGAGAGGCCTTCCTTGAAAGGGGAATCATCAGAACTAGGCTGGTCCATTCTCCAAGACCTAATCTTGCCATCCTTATGCCCACTCCAGATCAACTCATTCCCAGAATCAACCATCAAACATAATGCGGGTGACATATCAGCCGACTCATAAAATGGTGCTGCATCCTCATCCCCTCTCCTTGCACGACCTCCAGCTCCCATTCCAGGCTCATACTGATCTGAAAAATTCCACACTCTTACCCCAGATTCTTGCCCTGCCCATAGTTGTGTCTCTGTACAGGCAATGGTCCTCAAAAATTTCCCAACCTGTATTGTTATTAAAATTTTGAAAAGAGAAAAGGAAAAATTTCCCAACCTGTACAGAAGTGCATGCATTACTCTTCTAAAAATACCCATCCATTTAAAATATTTTTTAGCTGATTCCTGACTTCATCTTTTTTTATTTGGGACAATGCACATTCAAAACTGTGTTTCCAACATGTACATTTGTTTCTACCAATAAACACAGTACACTGGATGTGCTTGGTATCATGTTTCTTGAATAATTCAGTTTCTAGTATTTGTAAACTGTTTTCTCTAAAGAAAATATTTTCATCAAAAGACACAATTATTTCGTCACTTATGAGTGGATGTCATTTTCCTTTTACAGATATTTCAAACTCTTATCCCATACCACTTGTTTTAACCAACATGTGTATCTTAGTTGTTAACCTTAATGCTCAAAAATAATAACAGAGCACCATCATCATACCCTGCCCTCCGTCTAATACCCAAGGGGAACTAGGTCAAGGAAAGGGGTACAGCTGAATCCCCTTCGTTGAAAAAATCCAACGAAGCAAATAGGGTAAAAATGATTTTTTTTGTGGTTAGAATGAAGTGGCAAAGGGGTCCAAAAATTGCTTTAGGCACAGGTTCAAATCTCAGGTCTGACGTTCTAATTTTTTTTAAATCCCTTACATAAATTTCTGACTCCGCCATTGTCTAATAGATGTACTATATGTGAGATAGGTTAATGAACAACCAAATAATTCCCCAAGGTAAAACATCTTCCACTGGATTTTCTCCATAAAAATATTGAGCATGATGACACACTTTAATCTTTATCCGGTCAAAAGAATGACACATTTTATATTTAGAGACGGTTTAACTTATAAACTTTCTATTCTATCCTCAATGATATATTGAGCTATACAAATGTCTATTACTCTTGTTTTATACCACAAGTTTCAAAAGTCTTTCTTTCATAATTAAACTCTATATTCAGTCAAATACCGTCACAGAAAACGGGACAGAGGGAGTACGAATTTTGTTTACCTGGGTTTCTTTGAGGGGGTGTGGCCTGAGCTCAAGGCAAGAAGGACGTGCAGGATGAAGAGGGGCACGAACTGGGACTTTAAAGATTCCAAGTCCACCACCAGTTCCTTCAAACTCCGGCAATGGCAATTCATGATTCTTATCATCTGAACCATCCGCCGCCAGCCCAATACCTTCAATCTTTTGATTAATCAAATCGGAGGAGCCCTTAATATCATTTGATAAATAATCCTCTTGCGGCAAACCATAATTATGATTGTGATTAGTGATGCCATCATCGAGGCTCCAATTATTGCGGAGCTGGTGGTGGTGGGGCCCACACTTGGGGTGCGTCCCTGTATATGTTCTCAGCTGGTGGCTTTTGGATTGATTTTGTCGAACAGGTTGTGTGCTACTCGGATTCTGATCCCATGCACGTGCGTCATCGTCTTTGCTTTCGTCCATGTAATCAAATCTAGTTGGAGTACTAAATTTAATTCCAAGTCAGAGTCATTTGTCTAATGAAAATATTTTAATTTCAAAAACATGCAAAAAGATTTGAATTCATCAACTCCACAGACTTTTCTATTTCAGAAGATTTCTTTTGTTTTTTTTAGAAAGACAGAGGAAACTGGAAAAAGCTCCATTTTGTACGTAGGAAAAGGGAGAGAAATAATCAGTGGTGAAATTAAGGAAGAAGGAAAGCATGCAGAGAAGAATGAGTCAAAAAAATGGAATCAAAATTGGGGTATGTTTGAAGAATAGATCAGAGTGAAGCAGAGGGAGCGGACATGCATGGGAAGAGGAACAGAGTTCGGGAGAATTGAGGATAATGAGATCTTCACTTGCACAACAGCTAATTTTATTTAATAGCAAATGGTAAAATTGGTATGTATCAATTTCATACAAAAAGAAAGTTTAATTATTTTATTTTCAGAATTATAAATTTCACATTTTAAAAGGCTTATTTGTAGATGTCTTTTAACTGACTTGATAATATAAAATATTTCTTACACTGGTCGTGTATCACTTAAGCTCCAAAAAATATTAAAGATTTGGAATAAATAATAACTACACAAAAGCTCTATTTCGTAATCGGTAAATAACAATACTCCATTAGGTTTTTCAATGTTTTTATATGTCATTTGTGTTAGGGTTTGTACTGAATTTCTAACCTATTAGGATTATATTTCTGGAAGGAGGGGAATAAGACTCCTAAAAAGAATAAATCTCCTTTATATGTCTTATTCATTTCTTGGGGAAAAGTTTTTTACTTCTATAAATTGACGTTTTCTTCTCACAACAAAAGACAATAAACTCTACAATGTAGTCTTTACGAGACATATCAAGTTTTCCATTGTTAGCTTCCGTATGCACCATGTTATTTCGATCCCGACAATTTGTGTTTAGCTTATTATTTCGTTAGAAAAGATTAGGCAAAATGGCCTCTAGCCACTTAAACTTATACTCATTTGTCAACCTGGTAAACCAACTTAGAACTTTTCTATTTGAACACTTCAACTTAATGAAATGAATATCAATAAACATCTCCAACAGAGCGTGAGCTAGGGGTGGGCATATATCGGATAAAACCGATAACCCGAACTGTTAATTATTTATTGGGTTATCGGTATTGGGTTAACGGTTCGGTAACGGGTTAAAAAATATTTTTTATTGGGTATCGATTCGGGCTCGGTTAGGCAATTCTGTTATTGGGTAAAATTGATAACCCAATAAGGATTAACTAATTTACTAGTTTACCCTTAAGTATATACATACTAGGGTTTCATAATTCATAGTTCACTGACTCACTCTTTGATTTTCCTATTCTTTCTCATTTTCTTCGCCTCACGCCCTCACCAGTCAGCCCCCGTCAAGACTCAGGCCGGCGTCAGTGGCATCACGTCTTCACCCAGCCAGCCCATCAAGATTCAGGCTGGCATCAATCGCATTTCTCAGCTTCTTTCTTTCACTCTTCAGTCGCATCTTCACTTCATTTCTCAGATCCATCAGATTCCTTCAGTCTCATCTTCACTTCACTCTTCCGTCGCATTTCTCAGCCGCATTCCTCAGCTTCATCTTGATTCTTCGTGTAATTTTTTAGTTGCTTCATTTTCATCTTTTTCTTAGTTTGTTTGAAAGTATTCTTGCTTTGGATTTTTCTTAGTTTGTTTGAAAGCTGAAGTGAGATTTGTCGTGTACTTTAATTATTGAGCTGTTACAAAGTTATCTTGTGTCAGTTATTATAAAATTTGTATTTCATAACTAATAAACTTTTTAATCTATATACATAATTCTGTACTAGAGTAAAAAAGTAGATATCAATGTTCAAAGACCCTATACGCTACTTGATTTTGGGTTGAAGAATGAAAGATAAAAACTTTGGTTAGTATTTATTCTATTGGATGTTGCAGCTAAGTTAAATTCTTGTGAAATAGAACAGTTCTGAAAAGAGTTTTAGCAAAACAGTTCTGAAAAGAGTTTTAGCAAAACAGTTCTTAAAATCTTATAAAACTGTTTTAGCAAAATAGTTTTATACCGAAACAGTTTTATACATTGTGAAATAGTTTTATACATTGCGAAAATGTTTTAGTTGTTATATCTTATGGGGCAAACCGATAACCGAACCGATCGATAACCGATTAACCAGTAACTGATAACTAATATCTTATTGGTTTGGTTATCGGGTTATGATATTTGTAAACCGATAACCGATAGGCAAAACCGATAATATTCATAATCGAACCGAACCGACCAATGCCCACCCCTAGCGTGAGCTTCAATTGCCTAACAACAATGATAGGTCACACTTTATGGCTTTTTATTTTTCGACACGTGTAATATGTGGGTTTCACTTTTTAATTACCAATTTACCAATTTTCTAAATTATTACTTTTCTTTCTCTTCATCACACTCATGCCCCAACTGTTACTCTACCATAATTCCACCACCACCACACACCCTTAAGTCAAGTCTAAATGGCCAAACCCAAATATAATAGAAAGCATATTCCTTCCGCTCCTTCTTCATCGTCACCAATTTTACTTACCCATTTTGATTCTTGACAAAACCTACCATTTTCACCGTCCAACTCCATCAATTTTAGCCACTAGGCAATTCGGTCCGGCAACGGAGCAGTAAAGAATTTCATCGGCATCGATCCCCATCTCTGTCTCCTCCATCCAATTTCGACCTATTATCAATTTCTGTTAGTTTGTATGAGTCCACCAAACAGTAGACTACCTAGTCCCCTACAAAATTCTGCTGAGAATGCTACTAAAACAATACGTAAATAAGGCAGAGGATTTTTACGTGAAAAAATCCCACACAAGGGGATCAAAACACCACGACCTACACCTGTAGGCTTTCAACTTCACTAACTTGTAAAGAACCTATTACAAGCCATTTTGCAATGATTCCTTTACAAAGGATTTACTCAATTAACTTGTGTTACTCTTACCACAAGCCACTTTGTGACTTCCTAGTTACAATGGTTTTTACTAACTTGCGATGCTCTCACCACAAGCCACTTTGTAACTCTACAATTACAAAGACTTTTGCTTATGACTAAATCTAGTCACAACATAAACTCAAGGAGTTTACGGATTTACAAGAGGATTCCTAATCAAACGCTTCTAGCTAAGCAGTGTAGGAGATACAAAAAGTACAATCACAAAGTTACAACTCAACTAGGACAACAACAAGCTATATTTTAGGAACTGGTCCGTAGTTGCGTTCAACTTTGTTCTTCAAGCTTGTGAGGATTGATTTCTCTTTTTTGGCAAGAAGTTTGAATAAGAAATTGAAACCTTCAAGTGATATTTTGTATAAACTCATTGTGGGTACACCTTGATCACATCACTTGAAATGATGTGAGCACTTTATTTGGTTAGAGAATGAGTGGGCACTGGAGACAATGCAGTGCGGTAGAAACAGTGTAGTCAGTCACTTCATTTCCAGCTGTGACCAATTGACTTATACTATGATGAGGGAACCACAAGGGTATCCGATCCTTATTTGGGTTCCTAGCTCCTGAAGCTGTAGCAGTTCACCTTTAGCTTGGAATTCGTTAAGCTTGCAGTATAGTCCAAGTAGGTCAGGTTCCCTATCTGGTTCTTAATAGTAAGTTTGTTAGATCATCAAAACATAAGGCAAGAACATTTAAAACCTATCAATTTCCACATTTTTTATGATGACAAACTTAACATTTATAGAGTGGATTTAGAGTAGTAAGAACCAGTTTAAGTAACAGGGGAACACAGGTTTCCCCTGAGACTATGCCTTTTCGTAACAATGTGTTCCCCCTGAGTTGATGGCTTTTTTCCCCCTTTTGGCATTATTAAAAAAACATACAAAATAACAGTACAAAGAAGTCCAGCTAAGCTAACTCATGCCACATATGTGCACACAATCATGATAGAGAATAGAAACACAAAAGGAGAGTACTGACATAATAAAACAAGGATTGATATTAATAAAGCTTTAATATGCTTTGCTTTGAAAAAGCAAAAGGCAACATTGGACTTGTTAACGGGAGCAGTAGTGTTTCATCCCAACCATATAAAAAAAGAAAACAAAAACATCCGCCAAAACATCAAAAAAACAACTTAACAAACATTTCCAGAAACTGTTCACTGAAGGGGTACTTAGGGGGCACTAGGAGTAAAAGGCTTGGTAGTTGCAGCAAGTGTTTGGAGAACAAGGTCTATTCGGGCATTTGCCGACTTCTGCTCATTGAGCAATTTTACTTTTAGGTTTTCTACTTGCGCCTTGAGATCAGCATTCTCCTTTGTCAAATGATCCACTTCATCATTTGACATCGGAACCCCTTAGGCTTGCTGACCTTCCAGGATAGCATTCCTGGCCTTCGACCGACGAATTTCCTCAGTTGCACTGTGCTGAGCATTTATAAGTTTTGAGATGTTTAATGTACTTCCTACCCCCCATTCTTTTCCACGCACTCGCACTCTTCCAAAGTCATCTGTGAGGAAGTCTGCTTCCTAGTCCCCACTTTGCCCGTCCCCAGTGGAACTTTAAAGAATTTGAACACTCGAGTAAGCAGGAACCCATAGGGAAGGCCATAATTACCATCTTTAAAGGTGGCAACCTTTTGCATGTGTTCAATCATAATAGCAGGTAGACTCACAAGAGTAAAATTGTCCAGTTACTCTATCACGAATAGGTCAGACTTAGAAGTCACTGACCTCCTCTCAGCTCAAGGCAATAGAACTTTGTTAACCAATTCAAACAGCAATTGACAGACAGGGAGTAGCACTTTCTTATGGATTTGGTCCCCTTTCTGGTTTGCATTGTCTTTTACCGCGGCATTTCTGAAGTTATACTGACACACATTTTTTACACTGGACACACCAGCTGTAGGAACTTTTAAAATCTCTCCAAGCAACTTTACATCAAAGACGATGTCCACCCCATTGGCCAAAGCACAAATGTGGTCAGTCTCAACTGGAAAGAGGCTAGCAAAGAAACTTTTTACCTCATCCTCATATACCTTATGTGCATCAATTTGAAATAGATGTGCCCATCGTTGAAAATCGACTATTTCCAGAATTTGGCACATTCCAGCCATCTTAGAGATTGCTGGGTCAAACGTATGACCCAACAGAACTTTTTGATACCTCAGGCGCTCAGAGCCAAGGCTGACTTCACTTCTCATTCTCTTCACAGAACCAGTTCTTCAAAAGATTCAGACTTGCGTTTGTCAGACTTCTCTCCACTGAATTTTCCTTTTCCCTTGGATTTGACTAAGACATCCTCATCAGACATTGAAAACTCACTCACCACCTCCTTCATCTTGGACCTAGATGTTGACCCCTTCTCTATTGAAGCAG